ATTTAAACATAAAAACAGCATTTTAATAACAACTAAAGGTGACATAGATACTTTATTATGGTATAGTATTTAAATGTAGGCCTGAGAAACACAGAATATTGCCCCTTTAAGTAACTGAGCAGTTTAGTTGGATAGAACAATCTGAAAATAAGCTGCTTTAAAGTTGGCATCAACCATAAAGTAAATCTGCCATAATGCATATTAGCTCCTCACTATAAACTCATCAGTGAGAAAAACTTTGTTAGTTTTACTTTTAATAATATTTTGGTATTTATTTCAGATTTAGTCAGTCATACACTCATCAGTGTTTAAAAGAGGACGTGTTAAAACTCTGTTTAGTCAAAGTTAAACAAGAAACGTCAAAGTTCACTACAACTGGCCCTTCGAGGGCCACCATAACGCTCATGTGGCCCTCAGTGAAAATGAGTTTGACACCCCTGGTTTACATGAACAAGTTTGAAAGTTGTATTTGTTTAGAAAGCTTTATATTTTGTTTAGCTTAAAACAGGCTCCTCTGTTACCTCGTGGCTTTGCTGTGGAAGGAGTCAGAGTTGAGTTATGTCCAGGAATGCAATAAAAAATCTGTTTCCTGAAACACACCTTAGGTGTTCAGTGTCCTCTCATAAATAATGTGAAAGATGAATTCTTCAGGTTGAACATACACCTAATAATAGTAATATTAAAAATAATAATGATGATAATAAAAATAATATGTGAGGTACCTCTGAACAGTTGAATACAAAAACAACACATTTATATATAATCTGACGCCAACAATATGCAACTTATTATTTTTGTATGTATGGTTTTTTTTTTACTTTCACTGCGGTCTGCGCTACAAATTGCCCTTTGAGAATAATAACATTTTACTATAACTTTACTATATTTAATAATAATGTTTTACTAATGTTTAATAATGTTTTACTTGACTTGACAGAGGCACATGACCACGCATTACTATCTCGTGACCTTGAGATAGTAATGAGTGGCCACAAGATTTTTTATTTTTTATTCAATGTCACTGGACGAGCACCGTATTGAATAGCTCAATATTACTTTATGTATTTTTGCCCAGGTCGATTGCTTTTAAACACAACAAACAACAYTCTCACCAAAGTATTTAACATTTTTTAATGACTTTCTCTAGAAGTTATTCAAACCTGAATAATTATTCGTTGTAAATTCATGAAATCTTCTACAGGATGTATTTCAGTTGCTCTAATCCACCAGCAGGTGGAGCTAGAAAGAAGAAAAAAAATAACCCTGATATGACTGAGGCAGTTTGAGTCTGAGACCACAAGGTGTCTCTTTTCTCTACAACTGGAGGTCTCTGGGGAGGGAAAGCAGGTAGATGATTTCGGCACTGGGAGGGGGGGGGGGGGCATGAAAAACATGTTTACCTGTTTAAAACAGCTCATAGTCTCCATTTAATTTCTAATATTACAAATTTCAACCACATCCTGCGAAGCTACAAAAACTGCCATGCTTTTTCCTGCTCTCAAATCAAGGGAGCCATCTGGACAGAGATTGTGTTCCTGTTTGGACCTCGGAGCCATTTAATTTTATGATTCCCGTCGTGGTTGTWTCCTCACGCAGCTATTTGGCCTGACGTGATGCCCAGAATGTGAGCCTGTGTCAGTGTGTGTCAGGGAGTGAGTCAGTGTCTGTTTTTTAAGGCGTTTATAACCTCTTTTCTTTTTTTTTTTTGACTCCAGTAAGTGCAGCCGGTATGTGACTTGGCAGTCCTCTCTGCCCTACAGCTTCTAATCTTCACTCTGTGCCTCATTTCAACCACTTCTGTCCATTTTTCCTTATTCTGTTTCCCCCTCTTCTTCTTTTTTCATCTGTCACATCTTTCCTCTTTTTACTTTGCGTCTTCTTCTCCCTGCMCCTCTTATTCCTCTGCATTGTATCTCTCACCTCTCAGATACCTCAACCCTCCCTCCTTCCACCTCTTTCCCCTTCTCTTCCTAAAGTCTGTGTGAAGCCCTTTGATTCCCAGTGCTCCCAGGGTTGTTGTGCTGGGCTGAATGTCAGCTCCCCGGATTAGAGCTCTGAAGAGAGCAGAGTAGCAGCCAAAACCCTGGAACCCACTCAATCTCCCTTTCTCTCTCGCTTGCTTTAATTGACACTGTTAAGGGGCCAGGAACTGGAAACATGTCACTTGGAATCATTCAAAGAGAGAGAGCCGTGTATGGGAAAAGGAGGGGTGGGGGGGGAGCGGATGAAAAGTGGGCAGAAAGAAAAGAGGGGAGGAGAGAGAGCTAAAAAAGGAGAGAAATCTACGGTGATGTCTGTCAGGCTGCCTAACAAGTTTCCTTAAAGTTTGGTTGATAAAACCATCATGTGGACGGCCTTCTATGGAGGACCTGAACATGTGATTAGAAAAGTTTTTTTAAGATTTTGGTTTAAAAGAAGCATGCTCTGCTTGCATAAGTTAATATCTGAAGAAGTATAAAATAAAGTTACTAAAAAAACTGTTATTTTGAAGATTTTTGTGGTCATTTGATTAGCTGATTCTTATTCAGATCTTTAGCCACTGAAGTAATTATCTTTTTCCTTCTTTTCATTCATTTTGTCCCATAAATATAAGTGTTTAATGTTCGTACACATCACCTTCGATTAGATTCGTAAAAAGAGGATTTMCTGTGATTTAGCTTCAGTTTAGATAAGGATCAGTGGGCATTCTTACCTGTTCTAAAAAACATCAAAAGATCCATATTTCCTCACGAAAACGCACAGTTTTGATCTAAGTAATCACGTCGATGAAGCTTTGAAGGCTACAGCTTAAGGGTAATATCTCACTGCAAAAGTTGAACATTTGTCGGATACTCAAAGTTGTGAGAAAATGATGAGAATAAAAGAAAAAACAGAGTTATACACCTGATTCTGAGTGTTTGTTCCAGCRCTGTGAGCTACTAGTTTAAATTGTTACCATTTTTCATGGTAAAATTACCTTTTTTCTTATTTTTAAGTTAGGTTAATATTCTGGTTGACTTCTTTGGGAGTCTGCTGGTGTTGTACAGAAAGAAGTGCATTAAAGAATGACAAAAATTAAGCGTCTGACCAGTTTGTCCACCTCAGTTATTCTTTAACTCGTCTGTAATTTTCTTGCTTGCTTCTAAACAAATAAAATTAAAGTTTTCCTAAAATCCATCCTGTTTTGACCACTTTCCAGTGTTTCTCTCCAGTGCCCACATCCCCCCCTCCTTTTTTGTTTTTTTTTAGCTCTCCCTTGACTCCATGTTCCTTTTTAGGGATTAGCTGAAGGACCTGGAAGTCCCGGGAGGCCCGTAGCTTTCTGTCCTGGTTCTCAGGGTGACCTGGCAGCACTTCCCTCCAGAGCAAAGCCTCGTGTATTTAGAGGGACGTGTTACGAAGGGCCTCGGGGCCTGGTGGGACGTGCCGGTTACAGCAGCTCGACTCCATCAAAACAGCTTGTTTACGGTTTTATAGTCGGTGTCGTGTGGGCTGGTAAATGAGTCGAATCAGCTCGTTAACACTGACAGATGCTCATAACTGCGTATCGATCTCATGTTGGAATGTTGCTCTGTAAGTGATCCCTGCGTTAATGTCAAAAACAAAGTGCTTTTCTGCCCTTTTATGTGCTTCGAGCACGAAGGAACGAGTGAAAGAAGCGGGCTCGAGGCCATTGTAAACACTCCTAACTTGACAGTCACCAGGGTTATGAAGACAAGACTCCCTCCATATTTCAAACCGCTTAACTGTCTTACCAGATCTCGCCTTGTTTCTCCTTGCTCCTACTCGTTCTCAGCAATCTGCTTTGTGGCGTGATACARGAGACGGAGCGCAGTAAATCACCAGATAACATAAGGAAGCTGTGCAGCCTGGATTGATCAGCCTTGTTATTTTCCCATCTGCTAACAGGGAAATGATTAGCCAGACGTGACTGATTCAGGGTGGGAAATATCAAACCAGGCCCACCTTTCATCAGAGTAGCGATCAGCCTTGAGTGTTTTTTTTTCTTTTTTCTTTTAATTTTAAAACAGAAAACAGTGAAAAGGGGAAAAAAACTGGACGGTTAAAAACATGTCAGATTCATGTTTCTTGTTACTGATTGGACAATTATTATTTTTATAATTAAATCCCCTCTGATTTTGCTTTTATAAATTGATCATATGTGTATTTCACAGAAAAAACCTGTTAATTTACTTTTCTACTTCTTCTCAGATATCAAGTGAGTTTAACACATTTTTCTCACTCTACGTTAGCATGCCTAGAGACGTGTTTGAGAGTGCATTATGGTCATTAGCTATGGTCCATTCTCCTCTGTAAATGTGTGTGTGTGTGTGTGTGTGTGTGTGTGTGTGTGTGTGTGTGTGTGTGTGTGT